ATCTTTTTAGACAGTTTTCCACCAACAAAACATACATTCTGGTGTGATTTAAGAATGTTGAACATTTGGTAAACCAAAATAAAAACTGGAATATAAGACATACAGTTGCTAGACTTGCTCCCTCTCCTAAATAGTAGTTCTCTAACGTTCTCTAATTTGAAACAGTGGTGGTGAAAGAGAATGGAACTTGAGAATTTGAGAAGCAAAACCAAGTCTTGTGGCTCTCGCTAAACAATACTTCAATGTACTGATTTATTTTTCATGTTTTTATCATCTCAGAAAGTGAGAGTGGATGGTCAGAATCTACCTGCTCAGCTCCTAGAGTCTGGGGAACTGCAACAAATGCAATATATCCAGGTGCACGAACAACATGAATTACAGCAACACGACCAGTATGTAGAAGAGAAACAGGAAGAGGGAAGCCAGGTGCATGTACAGAGTACAGAGATTACAGATACACAACAGACCAGTGTAGTGCAAGTGGTTGATGGTGATAATGATGATGATGATAACAAAATGAAGAATGATATTGATAATGAACTTAAAAGTCAGAAACAAGTCGTGGTTGAGAAGGAGGAAGTGAATGAGCCACATCAGATTTCAGAGGAAACATCTACAGCAACGAAAGATACAACAAATGAAACAACAGCTTGTGTCTCAGTAAATTGAGTGTAGAAAACGAATATATAATTTGGGAAACTGCCTGAAAAAAAGGATCTTTTTGAAAAGGTGTTAAGTTTATGTGGAAGTTGTAATCTGTGTTGGTGTCTCCCCAAAGTTTCTTCGCAGCTCCACCACTTTAAGGGGAAAAGACTTGTGGCAATTTAGTTTCAATAGCACATTATTAATACAGCAGGGAAGGTTTAACCTCTTCCTGTTGGCACTGCATAATGAAAATTAGTGTACTAATACACTAGGAAAGATTAGTTGTGCTTACTTATTTTAGTCAAATGAGGGAAATTTGTGCCTTCAATTACATTTTATTACAGATACTGAATACATAGCTGTAAAAAAATTATGTTCCTTTTGAATAATAACTTACGGAACTCCCTTTTTTTATTTTAGTTTTTATTTTAGTTTATTAAAATGAAAGTTAAAAAGGTGATGTGGGCTAAGAAACAATTATAAACTATGGTTGTTCAATACGAGTTCTCTGATTGGCTTACTTGATTATTTTTCACAAAATTTCCAGTTAGATTGTTATCTTGCATGAGTCTTCTGAATTTTTCATTGTTTTAATTAATTTCTATATTAAAGTTAACTACAATATAAAAATTGGTGAGCTGTACATTCTGTTGTTGTCATGGTTACAGAAGAGGTGTATTATAGTATGATAGCGTATCTTTGAATGCTAAGCGTTTTTTTTTTTTTTTAATTAACTGAAAAGTTTTTTTTTATAGTTTTTCCAAATTGCAATTCTGTTAACTTATTTAGAATTGAAAAGTAGCACAACTTTCAGATGTTGTGTTGTGTATTAAATATGAATTCATTTCTCCACTTATGCATGATAATACATAATTTGCATTCAAGACATGACCATGTCATATTCTGATTATCTGTTTGTACTACTGTTGTTGAATTTTGTATGAAACAAACATCGCACGAGTCCCATATCGTAATTATTTGGCAAGATGAATGTGGCTCTTTAATTTCACGTACACGTGCAGTCGTTGCATTGCATCCTTGGTAATATGGCTCGCATGCGATGTATACTGCGATGCTTTAAGTTCATTTCGATTTCTCATATTTTTCATTATTCCATTAATTTTTTGTTTGCACACCAAAATTGTGATACAGTAGTACTTCAAAAGAAGTGTGAAATATGTTCTGCATTTCCTATTTTATTAGAAGTGTACCAGTCATGTAAAAAATATGTGTAAAAAGCAGCCATCTTTTGGTATCATCGGGAAGTCCACTGTGTTGTCTAGTTCGTGGCTCGTTGTTGACCTTTCCTTATGAGATGCTTTGTCCTAGAACGCTAGAATGAATTGCGTAAACACATTGTTTTACATATTGAAGCTAAAAATACTGT